AGACAATTCTTGAAGATTCAGATGAAATAACAGTTGACTCAACCGGCGAAACTGAACGAGGATCTGATGGTTCAATTGAAGAAACTAATGAATCTGAAATGATAACGGAGGAAGCTCCAGATGTAACAGATAAGCCAACTGAGGGAACTTATGAAGAGTCTGAGAAGGAAATGAAAGAAGCTTCAGAGACATCAGATGAAGCGACCGAGTTGGATCAAGAATCCAACGAAACATATGATCTAACGGAATCATATGAGACAACTAAAGAAACTCTGCCCGAATCTACATCAAACACTGTTACTGGCGCCGGGATTGACAACTTAAAGGTAACTTTAGCGCCTGATAATCAAGTTGTGATTGAAACAGAAAAACCTATAATCAAAAAAACGACACATGACTCTGATAAGGCAACAGAGGGCGTTACAGAGAGTTCCGATGTTGAAGATTCTAATGAGACCATTGAGGCGAGTCCAGAAAAATCTAATGAAGCAGCAGTTTTAGTTCCAGACGAATCTGTCCCACATGACGTTGTTCCTGGTGAAACTGTAACAGATGAAACTGTTACAGAAGAGAATGTTACAGAGGAGGCTGTTACAGAGGAGACTGTTACAGAGGAGACTTTTACAGAGAAGACTGTTACAGAGGAGACTGTTACAGAGAAGACTGTTACAGAGAAGACTGTTACAGAGGAGACTGTTCCAGAGGAGACTGTTACAGAGGAGACTGTTACAGAGGAGACTGTTCCAGAGGAGACTGTTCCAGAGGAGACTGTTACAGAGGAGACTGTTACAGAGGAGACTGTTACAGAGGAGACTGTTACAGAGGAGACTGTTACAGAGAAGACTGTTACAGAGGAGACTGTTACAGAGAAGACTGTTCCAGAGGAGACTGTTACAGAGGAGACTGTTCCAGAGGAGACTGTTCCAGAGGAGACTGTTACAGAAGAGACTGTTACAGAGGAGACTGTTCCAGAGGAGACTGTTACAGAGAAGAATGTTACAGAGAAGACTGTTACAGAGGAGACTGTTACAGAGGAGACTGTTACAGAGGAGACTGTTCCAGAGGAGACTGTTACAGAGGAGACTGTTCCAGAGGAGACTGTTACAGAGGAGACTGTTACAGAGGAGACTGTTCCAGAGGAGACTGTTACAGAGAAGAATGTTACAGAGAAGACTGTTACAGAGGAGACTGTTACAGAGAAGACTGTTCCAGAGGAGACTGTTACAGAGGAGACTGTTCCAGAGGAGACTGTTCCAGAGGAGACTGTTCCAGAGGAGACTGTTACAGAAGAGACTGTTCCAGAGGAGACTGTTCCAGAGGAGACTGTTACAGAGAAGAATGTTACAGAGAAGACTGTTACAGAGGAGACTGTTACAGAGAAGACTGTTCCAGAGGAGACTGTTACAGAGGAGACTGTTCCAGAGGAGACTGTTCCAGAGGAGACTGTTCCAGAGGAGACTGTTACAGAAGAGACTGTTCCAGAGGAGACTGTTACAGAGGAGACTGTTGCAGAGGAGACTGCTCCAGAGGAGACTGTTACAAAGGAGACTGTTACAGAAGAGAATGTTACAGAAGAGACTGCTTCAGAGGAGACTGTTACAGAGGAGACTGTTACAGAGGAAACTGTTACAGAGGAGATTGTTACAGAGGAGACTGTTCCAGAGGAGACTGTTACAGAGGAGACTGTTCCAGAGGAGACTGTTCCAGAGGAGACTGTTCCAGAGGAGACTGTTCCAGAGGAGACTGTTCCAGAGGAGACTGTTCCAGAGGAGACTGTTCCAGAGGAGACTGTTCCAGAGGAGACTGTTCCAGAGGAGACTGTTACAGAGGAGACTGTTCCAGAGGAGACTGTTACAGAGGAGACTGTTCCAGAGGAGACTGTTCCAGAGGAGACTGTTACAGAGGAGACTGTTACAGAAGAGACTGTTCCAGAGGAGACTGTTCCAGAGGAGACTGTTCCAGAGGAGACTGTTCCTGAGGAGACTGTTACAGAGGAGACTGTTCCAGAGGAGACTGTTACAAAGGAGACTGCTCCAGAGGAGACTGCTCCAGACGACTCATCATCATTTGGTGTGGCTCATAAACAAAACATTATATTGACAATCTTAAATGTAGTTTTTGTATGTTACTTGTTTAGATTGGTGTAGTAAATTTTTCAGAGTTTCAGGGATTTGAAGGGATTGAAATTGCAAACGGGTCTAAGTATGAAAGCATTATTGCAAGTTTACTTTAAATCTTTTACGTTAAGGGACGTTTTATAGTCCAACATTTGGCAGCTTATGTGTAGTTATACCTAAGTGCATATCTTTCAAGTCGATAAAATATGTATATGTAAGTTATGTTTGTCTTTTGATTAATTCGAAAGTTTTATTCTTATCGGCAGTGACTTACTATTTGCATTCTGATTCCAGACAATTCAAAAATGTATAAATGAATGGGTCCACCAAGCCATACACAAAAGTAAATTTACTAAAATAGAAAAGATATTATATAAAATATCAAATCTGACAACAAAAGTGTATTTCCTCAAACCTAGGGCCGTGTTTTAGAACTGAATAAGCTGCCTGAGCAACAAAGCGACTGCAAGATACGTATCCAGGGTCAGGCCCAGAGACTTGACCCTCCACTGTGATGTCAGGATCTCCCTCTACAGCACCACTGTATCTGCCAAATTAAATCATTAGATCATTGAATTGATGCACATTGAATAATCTGTAGAGGTTTTTACAAGATTCCACTCGGTCCTCGGAAAAAAGCCTTGCTTAATTTTTGTGGTACACTTTTAGGAAGTACGATGGATTGGGTTGGAGTTAGCATTAAAGAGAAAGGGTCTCAGTACAGCCTAAGAACTTTGAATAGAGTGAAATTTTATCGGGTGGGATAATGCTCTTCTGCCCTATCTAGGCAGCAATTTTTGACCTGCACTAACATGAAAATTATAAATTATACAGGGTGGGCCAAAAGTCAGTGGGCATACGTTGGCCTTAATAGCTCAGTCACTGAGTGCCCAATTGAAATGATTCTTTCTGGTATGACTTAGGTTCGAGGAATTTGTTAAATCGAAAAATATTCGAGTTCATTTTTTTCAAATGAAGGTTCATTTTTGCATTTATTTGATAGTTTGGATAGTCGGATCGAGCTAAATTTTATTGAATTGTGTTTGGCCATTCGAATTACGTTTGTCCTGAAAAAATTAGAATTATAGCTTCTTAGATGACCGAGATATGAAGCATAACGACTAACGAGTTTATTCATTACGTGTGATCAGGTGATTGGTTTACCTAATCACGTGATAAGGTGACCCCGTTAAACATTATGGGAATTGTTAAGGGTGCCCAATTAAGGTGTCGTGTCACGGTGTCACATAATAACCTAGTCAATTTTGTTAACGAGATACAGAAAATGCTTGATAACTTCGTCATTTCTAATCCGTTTTGCCTCATGTTTTCAGATCATATGCAACATTTAATAATCTACCGTCTCTAAAAAAAATTAGGCGTTCAGCATGTTCAGAAAAATCAATATAGATGTTTTAATATTGAATGGGCGTGGTCTAAAATATTCGAATTTTCAAATTTTGATGAAGGAATCCCCCCCAATCCTCGAACCAGTAAGTACAGTATGCCATCTGCAAAGCAACAGCTCTCAGATATAAAACACGACGGAGCTGTTAAGACTTAAGGCCAACGTATGCCCACTGACTTTTGGCCCACCCTGTATTATAATTTTACACTCTTTTCACTATTCCTTATTAGAAACTGTATTAAAATCCTGTATAAAATAAAATACCTACCCGCGCCCTTTAAGAGTGATAGAGAAAGAAGCTTGCTCGACTTGTTCAGGAGAGGCTCCTTCTGCAGAAACCAAACCCAAAGTGAAGATTTTAGGGTATTTTAGCAGTAGCTTTCTGGTCAAAATGGAGTGTCAAAAGTCGGTGCTACAAATCATGTGTATGATTGTGCTATACTATATGCATTATGGCTACACATAACCTACCATATCATGATAAAATGACTTCCACTACTATGGAAACACTATTTAAAATTGAAATATCTTCGTATCATAGTACATTTCATCTGCTCCGTGCACGAACCTGCCTAACTTTGTGTGAACCAGAACAATGAAAAATATGCCAAAGACACAAAGGTAAAGGAACAAAGCTGTACTCTGAAATGTCATATACACTCCAGCTTGTACCTGTGGGAATGTTGTGCATTACTTACATTATGCTGGGAAGATTTTTTGGTCTGCCATGTGGGAATATCGAAGATTCAAAATGTGCCGCGCAAGAACAGTCTTTATAGTTATTGCTCATTGGTGGAATAAAATCCTATTTGTAGGGCGTTCCATATTCTATAGGTATAGAATATTATATTACTTCTACGTTCTATTGTACTAGTATTGCGAACTTACAGGTACAACTTGCTCCTTTTCATGAAGATACCTCTGACTCCGAGCAATCACTGATCTATCTGACCCCGCAAACGGTGAACAAAACACCCCATTTTCCCTCCAGACACCGGACTTTGGTCTAAATGGGGCTCCAAACTTGGGTAGCTTCGGTAGGTTACGTTCCTTTCTGAGCTTTATTAATGATGATCGGTCGGAGAAGCCATTAACAACACATTGAAATGTGGGAAGATGAACTGAAAACCCTGCCGAAAATAAACAGTGTCAACTTATTGAACTATTTGAATTTAAAGTGGAACGTTTAATTCTTTAACCTAGTAACAACGCAAACGATTGAAATTGATGGACAAAAAATTTGTTTGCAGATAATGACATTATAACTTGAATGCCAAACATCAGTGCTTTCTCTAGGAAATTAGAAACGCTCATTAGAAACGATGCAACTCGATGCTACATCAATGTAATATTACATAAATTCAGAGTACAACTTAGATCCTCACACTCCTACCTTTCTCTCCAACTTTAGCATTAATATAAGTTTCAATTGAGGTCATGGTTCCAGGGAAGTTGGTCTGAACAAACCTCACACCGATATCAGCCGGAACACTGTCGAACCCACACGCGCTGACTATCACTAAACCTAACTCGGCAGCTTTGTCATGGTAATCAGCTTCCATCTGACAGAGGATACGAAATTAAAGCAATACTAACACCATGTCCTGTAATTAAACTCGCTATGATCTGATTTACACTCAGACATCATCAAAATTATTAGCCATACTGTGTCGTATCAAGTTAGTTTTTGTCCAACCATAGAAAAAGTAACAACATTCAAGGTGGTAAATAAAATTCACGACAAGCATGAAGAATTCAACATGACGAGTATGGCAGAGAACTGTTTGAGTGGTAAGTAACCTGTTCCATGAAGAGTGGCTCCCCACTTATGTCCAGATAGTGAGTATTACCGGCTAGACATCCCTCCACCACTTGGCGTCCCCAAAGGTAGTACTGGAGAAATACACTGTCAACAATTTATACCTTTAAACGTGTGCATAATATATACAGTGGATACTTCTAATGTAGAATTTATTATTATACATATTGTTATATTCTTTTTCACCTAACTGTACACTTTTACTTGGATTAAAAAACCATTAAAAATTCACCGGTCCAACACAGTTTATCAAAAGTTTAGCTTTAACGCACATCTGTTCTATAGAGTCCAAATCGTCCACGTTAGCTATAATAACACCCACTTCTGGAAAAGTCAAATGGTAAGACATCATTATTACAACGAATTCTTGGAAATTTTCCAGGAGCATGGCGAAAATGGCAAAAATTGCGAAACATTTATCTAGGTCTAATTTTTGCCATGACTCCCACCAACAGACAGCCAGATCTTCCTTCTAAACACTTACGAGAGTAATCAGTTACACCTGTTTCTCCGGCTACATCCTGTAGAACTCTCCTCATTTTCTGATCTGACCGGCCAGCCAAGGCCCATGACAATCCCTCCTTCTCAGATGTGAGAAACAGCTCTCTTACAACATGAACCCCAGTGTAACCAGTGCCTCCAAATACTATAATGTCAAATTCTTTCATCCTAGTCAATAATATTGGGTTCAGAACAGGTGATAAATTTTGCAAATCAATCACGTTTTTTATTTTTACAGCACCTACTTAGCATGCAATCCTACATTGCTAACAGAAAAAAGGTTATAATCTAAATGTTCATTGACTTTCAATAGTACAGATAAGCGATTTAGAGATTATAGATTACAATTGGATCATTAATCACTATTAACACAATAAATAGGTTATGGGGGTTTAAACGTTATAAAAAGATACTGATATCTGGATATTATCCGGTTGGAAGAGACAAGGACAAGTGAAACAAGGAAGTTAGGAGTAAGGGCAAATTTTCGGCGTCAACGCCATCTTCAGGCTAAAATTGTTATAAATGTTAGTATATAATAAATGCTTCTATACTAGTTAAAATGCTAAATTAAAATTACACACACTGAATACAGGTTACATCAAATGGTATTGTACATTACATTGAAAATAGTGATGTACACACGTTTTACACTCTGTCCAAGTACATAATATCTACTGAACAGCAGGGTCGTGTGCTATTTGTTTAAATTTGTCTTTGAATATGTTGTAAAAGAAATCCCTTAAGCTTCTCGCACTCTTCTTTGTTATTGATACTAGGTTTAAATAAATTAATGTAGTAAGCTTCTGTCACTTTACGTTTAATGGTGCTATATAAGTTAATTTCTAAAATATCGAAGGAAATATCTGGTTCTATGTTATCGTGAAACTCTGAATAATGAGCAGCCAACGCATTATCAGGATAGGTTAAAGGCCTGTTGACTGCTCTTCGATGCTCTGAAAATCTATCGTGTGCTGTTCTACTCGTTTCCCCTATATATAGCTCTTGACATAATTTACACGTAACTTTGTATATGACACATTTTGGTTTGCAGTCGTGATTTGTTGTGATGAGTGGACATATGATACAGTTTGGTATGGTGCAGTGTGGTTTGTCGTGTGGTCGTGATGAACATAAGATCTCTGAGAGTTTCTTACCTGGTGTGAATATGAATTTGACCGGTAAGTTGTGTGAGAGGGCAAATTGAGTGACTTCTTTGGAAAATGGCTCGTTGATGAATGGTAGAGTGCATGTTACGTGGTCGGTATCTTGTATGTTTGATGATGAAGGGTTATGACGTGTTGTAGGTGAGAGAGGGTGAAGTCGTCCTGTTTTGTTTATACGTCGTGGGTCTTGGTAACCGTTGTTGACCAACAAGTTGTCTACTATCTTCATGGACTCTTCTTTATACTCTGGTGTTGATGAGCAAAAAGCAGCCGTTTTGTAGAAGTTCTTGATGGTTGCTACTTTAGTTCCCTCATTGTGGTGGCTGTTGGCGTGCAGTGTGATATTCTTTTTCTGCTATTAAATTAGTAAATTATGTCAAGAGCTATATATAGGGGAAACGAGTAGAACAGCACACGATAGATTTTCAGAGCATCGAAGAGCAGTCAACAGGCCTTTAACCTATCCTGATAATGCGTTGGCTGCTCATTATTCAGAGTTTCACGATAACATAGAACCAGATATTTCCTTCGATATTTTAGAAATTAACTTATATAGCACCATTAAACGTAAAGTGACAGAAGCTTACTACATTAATTTATTTAAACCTAGTATCAATAACAAAGAAGAGTGCGAGAAGCTTAAGGGATTTCTTTTACAACATATTCAAAGACAAATTTAAACAAATAGCACACGACCCTGCTGTTCAGTAGATATTGTGTACTTGGACAGAGTGTAAAACGTGTGTACATCACTATTTTCAATGTAATGTACAATACCATTTGATGTAACCTGTATTCAGTGTGTGTAATTTTAATTTAGCATTTTAACTAGTATAGAAGCATTTATTATATACTAACATTTATAACAATTTTAGCCTGAAGATGGCGTTGACGCCGAAAATTTGCCCTTACTCCTAACTTCCTTGTTTCACTTGTCCTTGTCTCTTCCAACCGGATAATATCCAGATATCAGTATTTCAATCATGAGACTAATAAACAGCGAACTACTCCGTTATTTGTTATAAAAAGATAGAAGAGATTTAAAAAGTTATAAAAAGGTTGAGTGGAGTTGGGTTAAAAACATATAAGAGATACGATGATTTAACTTGTAGAAGCTTTCAATAAACATGTGTTAATCGTCGTCAGCTGAATGTGATGTGGTGGACAATGCTTATATGTGATTGAGTGGTGTCAGGGATGGAGGGTGGGGGAGGTGTGGGTGGGAAAGTGAAAATTACAGTACAATGTCAATAAAAATTTAGTCTTCTGTTGAGGTTGAGAAGGAAATGCCAGATGGTCTGGACTTTAAGGATTTGGCAATTTTAGGAAGAATGGGGTCCCAGAGGGAACTACATTTGGGTGCGCGGTCTGTTCTGTTCATTAACAGTAAATAAATATCGAATTAATGTTTTACAATATTACTTCAACAGAAATGCCTCCTTCAAAGAAGAAATGAAATTAATCGGAATCGTCCCATGTATCAGGAACATCGTCATCACAAACCTCAAATCCACCTCGATCAATTGAATCACCCTTGAGTTTAATAACGTGTTCAAATTTTTCTGTGATCGCTTTCTTGAACTCACGGTTATTACCGGGGGTTAATCTGATGAAACCATCCCCCACACCAATTAAATTAAACATGGAAGCCTCTTCGCTGTCCAACTTAGATTTTATCCACTCTTCACCACGCTTGTTGCGAACTGTGTTTTTGTTTAGCTTTTCTTTTAACCAGCTCAGGAAGTTGTCCAGAAACGTAAGAATATCGTTGGGTGTCCAATAATTCTTGCCAATCGCAGCTAATTCATCCATGCTGTACTTCTTTACGTCGATCAGCATCCCTTCCACGGTTCTGACTCCACAATAAACGGTATCAACCCCAAGCAAGGCGCAATGTATCCATAATTTGCAAGATTTGTACCTTGCAAATGTCTCCCTTTTCATAGGAAGCATGGTTTTAATTTCTACATAATTCTCTTGTTCGTCAATGGGACCATCAGGAAATTGGCAGCTTATTCTCGTTGCTGTAAAAATAGTGTGACTCTCCAGGGTTGCAAGCTTGATGCACCTTATATCAGTATCCTCGCCTCTGTATAGTGGGTTTCCTGGCCCTCCACTTTTCATTACATCCTCAAACTTCTTCCCGTGTTTCATCAGTTCCTTGTCTTTCAAAGCAGCTGTCTTTAAAGCTACATGAGGAAAAAAACCAAATTTCTTATGAAGCAGTGATAGATCAGTAATAATCTTTCCATGATCAGAATCTGGCTCATGGAAACCTTCTAACCAGTATTTCAACTCCCTTTTCATTTGTCCGCCCATGAATATTTTCCCCTTATAATGCAGTAAAGATATTTTCCATGGTGTGGATTTAGGCTGGTATGCAGCCATAGCAAATGTTCTTAAAACAAGGCCACCTGCAAAGAATTCAACATGACTGAGACTGACTTTCTCCCTCAGTGCCCAAGTGAGACACTTTTCTATGGCAAAAAAGTCGGGCAAAAACGCTGGCATATCCACAGGAGGGATTTTAATGTTGAAATCGTTACGGTGAGGATTTGTTTCATCCGAATAATATTGATTGTCATCCTCGACCCATGTGTCCATTTTAAGGCTTAGTGGTAATGATAAAGGACGAGGAGGTCTAACAAAAGGTATTTGACATTGCTCTGGTATCGGTTGACCTGATTTCTTTGACCATGTTTCTATGTCAACTGGATGAGATTTGAAGGTTCGTCCAATTTCTTGTATATGGAATTTACAGGAACTTCTCTGGTGATCTACTCTCTCAACTGGAAACTTTAAACAGTCCTTGCTATTCATTATATATTGAACTGAAAGTCATGCGACTGGCCTGGGTTGAAATTTGAATTATATGGAAATGAATAGTTCGATAGGAATTAAAGAATTATAAAAGCTGTTAGGGTAATAATTAACCTATCTATTTTAGAAGTTGAAGTTAAAGGTGATCTTAATATTTCATTGATTATGGTTTTTGAATAAACTTTATTATTTATTATATGAATTTAAGAAATTACATCATTACATGGCCTTTTTGGAGTTTTAATCATTTTGACAAGAAATGTTGTAAAACTTTGAGTAGTTGGAACTGAAGATAGCCAACATGATGCAACATTAAAGAAAAAAGTTAAAATATTCGAGAAAAAAGGTGATACAGTTTATTATTATCCAGAGCATTTGACATCATTGCCATTGGGACTCTTTAAACAAGCTAAAACTTTAAATGATTACATTATCATATCGATTATACTTTTATCAATCTCCATATCAATCACTAAAAATGCAGTCACTGCCTTAAGAGCTTATGTTTAGGTCAAAAATTTGTTGAATGTTTTAAATGTAATTGCATTATACATGAAAAATGTTTCAAAAACTCTGAAGCAACCGTGATCAACTCAAATTACTTTTGTAGTCAGTGCAAAGCGCTAATCCTTAAACAGTACAACCCGTTTAAAGATATGATTAGTAAGTCGGATAACAATAACAACGACCCCTTGATTCTGAAAATGTCACAAGTTCTAGAATATTGTAAGCCTTACTCCACCAACAAATTTAATAACGAACTTAGTGCCGATCTTCATAAAAATGGTGGCTCTTTCTTCCTGAATATCGACGGCAACAAAAGCAACTTCGACCATCTCATATCTGAATTAGAGTGCCTCAAACACAATTTCCCTATCATAGGCCTTGCCGAAACCAATATGAGCCCAGAAGAGAGTTCCGTTTACCCTATTAATGGATTCAATAGTTTCTACCAGACTACAATGCATAACAAATCGAAAGGAACGGGCGTTGCAGTTTATGTTCACAATGCTTTTAATGCAGTCGTTAATGTAGATGTATCAAACGTCACCAGTAATTTAGAAAGCCTCTTTGTGACTATTCATCAAGAATCTAAAACTATAAACGTAGGAGTAATCTATAGACCCCCTAGTGGAGACATTGACGAGTTTCTCGCTGAGCTACAAGTAATTATGGGTAAA